AAACCCAGAGTTTCTGGAGTTTCTGTCTCATGTCAAGAGCCATGATATGGGACAGAAAGAAATATGAGTTTAGAAAACATCTTTGCTTTTCTTCATATCTATCATACTTTTCATTGAATATATCTATCATGTCTTTCATTGAATATATATATATATATATATATATGTCTATATGATTAATGTTTAAGTTTTTCATAATGAACAATGAGTTTTTCCTGAAATGACATTTGAAGTTTCCAGGAAGAAGATGGGGCCCCATAACAACAACTCCACCTGGTTGATATGACGTCATGATACTGATAGCGCTACTACAAGACCTGCTTTGGGTACCAGCTGCACAAGACAGTTCCAACTTGGTTAGCTGAAATGGTGCACATCTTATACAACATTTTGGCCAGACCTGCACGAAAATACTCAGAGACTATTTGCAATTTTAAAAGACATTATCTTGAAATTTAACCATCATTTTACTTTCACAGGATCCCCCAGAAAGAACGTCGCCCCTATGACAGCTGGAAGTAATTCTAGAGAACGACGTCCCCTCTCCCAGTAAAGTTTGCCCTTGGGTTTAGGGACATCATTTAGGGGTTGATTATAATTAGTATATGATTGAGGGTTGGGAGAGGAATTTTATAAGCTCAGGGATCATTTTGAAAAAAAAAAAGAGGGATGATGGGATAATAGACAAATATATTGGTATAGATTCTTGTATATTGATACAAAGTTAAATTATATTGACTATTGTACGCATGCATGTTTCTACCTCTGTTTAAAACATTTTTATGTATTGACATATATTGTATTGATATATATATTGTATATATTTACCATATTGCAGTGTACATTTCTACCTCTGATTAAGATACATATATAATATTTGTGTATTGATATATATTTACCTACTGCAATGTATATTTGTACATTGTTTATATTTGGAGGTCATTGTCCCCATTTGTTTCACAGTCGTTTATTGTCTTATTCTTTAAGTTAGATAGATATTGAGAATTATATAGACTAATTGTCATCTAAGTTTGTCATTTATAATTAAACTAATCAGGTTCTTTAGATATATAGAGATTATACTCAGTATAGATAGATAATCTTCAACCTCTTCAAAGAGCTGTAGAAAATGGCCTTTAATCTAACTCAGAGTTTCGTGATAGTGAGACACAATTGCTCCTGGCAACACCGCTCTATTCCCGAAAAAATGTTGAGCACCAAAAACACTCCACCTGGAGCCTTTCTATTTGGCAGAACTGGCCTTTGGGCAAAGAAATGCCCATACCTCAACCACTGACACAGACACAGAGCGTGCATCAATGGATAAAACAGGACTGTCATATCCTGCCAAGACAGGGTAAGATAGTTTTGAAAAGTTCCTTGCCTTTAATAATGGTATGTCAGTTATGTTAGGCCTTAGCCAAAATTGGTTGACTCAACGTTGCAAACGAGACTTTGGGTGATTGCCCAGGTAGTCAGTTGTCTCTGTCAATTGTTGCACATTTTGGATATATCTCGTTTGTTGAGTAGTGTTTATTCCCTTCTCAGATCTTTGACTGAGTTGAAGATTATATAATTGTAGTTACTCTTTACATCATTTGGACTTCTTGAGATAGAATGTTTAGCAAAGCTTTTGTTCTCAATATTGTTTGTTGTATTTATTATTTGTTGTTATTGTATGTAGTTGTATTTGGTTTAGTTCTGTCTTATTTAGACAAAAAGGGGAGATGTAGGGATAAGTCCCGCCCCTTAAGGGGCGTGTTCGCCTCGGGCTAATGTCTGCCTATAAATTTGGCGAGCAAGCTCCGAGCTCTTGCTTCTTCTTTCCTGGTCTCCGCGGGAACAATGGTTCTGTAAGTCTATTTCTACATTAAAGCTATATATATATATTTTTACACTCTGTCTGCATTCGTTTACGGCGCTACAGGGTACTACCTAACAGCCTACCTGAGGGTCAATTTGGGTTTTCTAATCCATTTTAGACAGTTTTAATAATAACACACTCGGCTATTTTCCAGTGTTTTTTTTTTCTAAGTACTCAGTACAAAAATTATTCAATTTAATTGCCCCACAGGACTGGGTTGGGGAAAATTAAATAATCTGCTGGACATTCTAAAGTAATTACAAACTCAGCCCAACAAAATGTGATTGTCACCATAATAATAGTGACAATCAGGGTTGGTGTGGCCACCCTTTGCAGAGCACAAGTGACCCCCTGCTCGACAATAGTAAGATGATTTTCTTTCAAGGCAGGGTCCTTCTGTGTAACCCTGGTTGTCCTGGAACTCACTCTGTAGCCCAGAATGGTCTTGATAAGTAGGTGACATCTGGGTACTGCCTGCCAGGGGAAGGGGAACCAGGCTCACCTAAATATGCTTCTTTCAACACAGAGCAGACATTCTGCTCTTACAACTTTATTAATCTAGTCCCTCCCTAAAAAATTCAGCTCACTTTTTCAAATTGCAAAGCTAAAAGTTCTTTATTCTCCTTTTCCAAGCTTTACGTTCACAGGTCAAATCAGGGTCTTGTTAGGGTTTCTATCACCGCACTCAACACCAGAACCAAAAGCTATTTACGGAGGATTATTTTAGCTCACAACTCTCAGGCCACACCCATCAGTATGGAAAGTCAGGGCAGGAACTCAATCAGGGGCCCACGGAAGAACACTGCTCAATGGCTCACTCTTACAGCCTGTTCAGCCTGCTTTCCTTTACTGCCCAAGACCACCTGCCAGGGTGAACACTGCCCCCGTGGGCTGTCACCTGCTGCCTCACCCCCATCAGCTAGCAAATTAAGAAAATGTACCACAGACTTGCCTGCTGACAATTGGATAGAGGCATTTTCTGAGGTTCCTTTCCCCATAGAATTCTAGCCTGTGTCAAGCTGACAAACAACAAAAAACCCACAAAATTCACCAACCATGACAGTCAGCGTGGTATTAAACATAAATTCTTCCCTTGTACTCTTGGTTGTCTGTCAACAGTGTTTACATATTCCCAAAGACTTCAAGCAAACATTGCTGGGGTTGGGGAGACAATTATGCCGATAAGGTCATTGCTGTGTGTCAGCATGAGGAATCAAGTTCCATCTCCAGCACCCATGTAAAAAGCATAGCATGGTGGCATGTGATTGTGGTCCTTGAATTGGGGACGCAGACACAGGAAGCGCCTAGGGCTCTTTGGCTCATTGAGTCCTGGGTCCCACCAACAGATTCTGTCTCCAAGAAAATGGTTAACGATGCCTGTGGAACAATGGTCCTTGAGGTTTTTCTGTGACCTCCACATCTACTCCACACACATGCACAGAAAATATTTACTCATGGTCTAACCAATCAACTCTGTCTCTATCTTCATCTGTAAAAGAAGGATGCTCTTTGCCTTCATTATAAGTGAGATGTATCATGCATAACAGGCTGGAAAAACCATGTAGAGCTTGAGAGTCAATGGTTCTAATCCTGGCTCTGAAATTTATTAGCTATGTAATGTTGGACAAGTTACAGAATATCTGAGGACTTCAAATACCAAGCAAGCAGTATCACTTTATAGTGTATGTGCAGCATGTTGCTTTCTAAAATGATTTCGATACACAGAAGGAGCTCAGTAAATGGAGAACAGTATTGTAATGCAAAACAGTGTTTGGACAACCACAAAAACACATCAGGGAATACAGTGATCATGAGACCAATAGAAAGGCAAAGGAGAAAAAGCTACAGCCAGCATCGCCTAGAGGGTAACACAATTGTGGGGTGTGAAAATGCATGTCTGCAGAGTGTGGGTAGCAAGGCAGGGGAGAAAGAGGATGAATATTTGGAGAAAATGAGAATTTCGTTTTTATTCTCAGGAATACAAGAGCTATTGAAAGCATTTTAAGAAAAACTAAGGAAGTAACTTCTGGGAAATAAGGAAAATGAGATTGAAGCAAAGCCAGAGACAGAACAATCACTTGGTGAGGAGGCTTAAACAAGAAGCTGAGCTAGAGCAATGTGGACAAGGCAGGGGCCCATCGAAGAGACTGGGGTGGGGGTGGGGATGCCCAATGAATGAGGACAGTATATGTGTATAAAGGAGTAGGGAGGACATTCGTGAATACAGTGGGGCTTATTGTGATTTCAAGGGGGAACTTAATTCCAGCAGTTTGGACAAGAGAGGCATGTAAAGGAGCAGAAGGAGAGAGAGCACGAGCAAGGAACTCAGGACCATGAGGGGTGCACCCACACACTGAGACAATGGGGATGTTCTACTGGGAACTCACCAAGACCAGCTGGCCTGGGTCTGGAAAAGCCTGGGACAAAACCGGACTCTCTGAACATAACGGACAATGAGGACTACTGAGAATTCAAGAACAATGGCAATGGGTTTCTGATCCTACTGCACGTACTGGCTTTGTGGGAGCCTAGGCAGTTTGGATGTTCAACTTACTAGACCTGGATGGAGGTGGGGGGATCCCTGGACTTCCCACAGGACAGGGAACCCTGATTGCTTTTCGGGCTGAGGGGGGGGGGACTTAATTAGGGAAGGGGGAGGGAAATGGGAGGCGGTGGCTGGGAAGAGACAGAAATCTTTAATAAATAAATAAATTTAAAATTAAAAAAAAAAGAGATGTCTAAGCAGAGTTCTTCCTCTATGGATCTGAAATCTCCATGGAGATGAGAACTAAAAATCAAAGGGATGGAGCAAAAAACTGGAAGGGGTAAGGGCCTCTGAAACAATAAATTAGCGGAAAGAGCTTTTGTACATATAACACATTTTTGCAGAAAATGCTAAGAGAGGAGAGCTTGGTTAAAAAAAAGCCTTCATCAGTGATGGACTTGAAAAGAGACAAGAAGATATGAAAATAACAGTAATAGTATTGGAAAACATTTTATGTGTTAAATTTTTGATTTTGACATTTAACCAATTAGACACAAAATCAAATAAAATCAATAGTCAAACAATGCCTTTAGATTCTGCTACAAAATTTAATCTTTTCTTTCTTGTATGAACAGATATCTAAAAGAGAGAGAAGTTCAAAATGTCAGTGTTTATTTACAAGTTTATTCAAAAGTTTTAGAACAATGATGCTTTGACAGGAAGTCATCAAATGGAAATCAGCTTGTGTCTCAAGAGCATTAAGGGAAAAGGAGCCTTAGGGGTCCTCAGAGGTTGACATCTTGATGCAGAACCTCCAGTGACCCCATCAGTCGAGGAAGTGCCACCTTTCTTCTGTTTACATGGGGAGGTGGAGGTGGAAGGAAAGAGAGGGAGGAAGGAAGAATAAGGCATGTTTAATTTAGATCTGGAGGAAGCATTAGGCATCAAGCACTAGAATTTTTAAAGTCTCTATAATCTTAGCATGTCATCCCTCCAATTTAGGCTTAGCCACTGTCTTCAGTTCTCCTATGTTCTCAGTCATATAATACTACATCAAAAATTCTAGAACCTGCGCATGGTATTTTCTGGGGGAGCACTTCAGTCACTAATGAACAGTGTAGAAGTTAGCCCTGTAATAATACAAAAGGTTTAGAAAAACTTATTTGCTGTAACATTTGATGGTTCACTAAATATCCAAAAGGAGAGGTATGGGAACCACACTGCTTTCCCATAGGACTGAGTCTAGGGACACCCTCCGTCCTAAAAATCGCCATCGCATAGCTGGATGCAGTAAACTGTTCTCATTTTCCCTCCAAATTCATTAAGTTGAATATCCTAATATTTTTTATATTCAAAGGTCAAAAGCCTTGTCATATTTTGAAAGAGACATGGTATATGTATATGCTTACATTCTAAAATTGTTATTGAAGAACACTTTTACTTGCTTCTCAAAATGGCTTCAAATAATAAGAACCAAGGACTCGGAACTTAGTTTTAACCCTATGATACATTTTGGTTTTAAGGCTTTCAGTTGAAATAAATGACTTATAAAATGCCTAGCGTTAATAAAAGTATATCTTTTAGACTCAGGTTTCTGGGGTCATCCAGTTTATCAGACTGGCTGGAATCTCTTCTTACTTTACTCACACACACAGAGCTGCAGCGTGAGAATCATTAAGTGGAAGCCACACTGCAGCTCACTATGGCAGCAAAGGAGGCCTAACCAAGGCCGATGGAGGTTGATTAATCACCACATGACCGAACGATCTAGCCTCAAAACAACAAGTGTGCTCCTTATTTCCTGAAGTTAGGGCAAATGATATTTTATCAGAGCAATTTAATGACTATCTGAAATCTACTTACTTAATTTACATAACTCTTAAGCTAATTTTGTTTATTTATTCGTTTCCACTACTATAAACAGATTTGTCCATTGCTCTCAAGAACTGTAACAAGGCCAGTTGATGGCTCAGGGTGAGGGTACCTGCTACCAGGCCTGATGACCTGAGTTCTACCCCAGAGTCTATGAAGGAAGGACAAAATTGACGCCTAATGTGCAAACTCCCACATTCTCTCTTAAAACAACAAATAACTTTTAAAGGAAACATATTGTACCTTCTTTACTGACTTCTTTACTCATTGAAGGTGCTGGGACCTAAAGGATAAGAACAGTAAAGAGTTAATATATTTAATATTTACATATGGAAAGTGATCTCAGATATTTTTCATGTGATTATAGGATAAAACTGACATATAACTAAACTCTAACTTCAAAAAAGTTAAGATTTCTTCTGCTTTGTTGGGCTGTTCATTCTTCCTAAGGCACAAGCCCCAGATGTAATGTTAGTTAAAAGAAGACATGCTCAGAAATATTTTCCATCAGTGGCCCAGGTGGCTGACTGAGCACCCTTACCTGAGGGTGTGAAGACATTTTCTTTCGAGCCACACTCAGGCCAGAGCACACAGGAACCACGGCTAACAGTGTGTGCTGCCGCCCTCACCCACACTCAACATGTTCACCATCTCCCAAGCAAGGCTCTTGACCCTTCTAGAATTCCATCAGTGTTTTATGATCTTTGGTTAAAGCAGCGGCCAGATCAAAGGTCTTCTTCAGGCAGCAAGCCTTAAAAGTAGCTAGAATTCCCTGGTCTGTTGGATGGGGTCTGGAGGCAGAAACAGCACTTTGATGTTGGGATGAGTATCACTAATGAACGTAAGGAAGAGGATCACCTACTGTAAGGGCAGTCTTGGCAGCTGTGCCATCCCCTCTCCAGCCCTGCTCCACTTCAGCACACAGCTTTGCAGGGGCACCCTGGGAGGGGATGTACCCTCTACCTGGCTTGCCAGGCTTCCTCGCCAGGGCAAGAGTACGCTACAGCATGTGCCTACTCATGTGACAGTGCTATTCTGCGGCTCGCAAGGGTTTCAGCCTGTAGCCTATGACACTAGTTTGTTGGTAGCAATAAGATACTGATGATTTGAGAATGGCCTGTAGTGAATATGAAGGGGGTTCGGAGTGCCAGGATCAGGCAGAGAAGTATATCCCTGTATGCACTGCAACGACCACAGCCAACGCCAAGCTTGTGACGTTGAGAGGAGGGGCCGCACTTGATGACATTAGTGGCAGTCAGGCCCGGTGGTTTAAACAGTTCCAGAGTTGTTCTTTATACAAATGTGGAAGTTGGGAGCCTGGAAGTAATGATGTGGGGCCACTGGAGAATCTGTAGAAACGATGGGCGAGTGAAGGCAGAGGAAAACCACTTGCCACAGAAAATCTTTACTATGGATAAAATTCCCTACTCTTGAGCCAGATGCCTGGGAGGCTGGGCTGCCAGATCCAGGATATGTAGGGAATGGTAAGTGCTGAGAAAGCAGCTCCAGTCACTTTGTCCCTGTCCGTCAGAACTGTAGCTACAGTGGAACGGGGCAGGCGTGGCTGGTAAGAAACCACTGATTTTCAACCTGGTAACTTTAACCACTTTGTACTTCACTTCCAGTCAGTCACTAGATATGGCTTCTCAGTGGCAACATTAGCAGTAGACCTGATCTCATTAGGGGCCATGATAAAGCGAGAGAGCAAAACAAGTTCAAGAGAAATGATATAAGTAAAAGATTAACCATCAGGGTATGTGAGGCTGTTGCCAGTGTAACACAGTGCACTGTTTATAGGGAACTCTTAAAAAAAATAAGAGCATATTCTACAACGCTAAAAAGCACACATATGATGTAGCACTATAAGAAGCAGTAATGACGTAGTTAATTATCATCACTGTCAAGTACAATGTACTGATATAACTATATGTGCGACACTTTTGAATACCTGGTAGAGCAACAGCTTTGCTTAAGTCAACCTCACATTTCTGAGCTCTAAGATGCAATTATAAAACCACGAACATGTTCATGGTCTGTCACAGGCAAAGGGTGGCATGAACGTAGACGTATCCCACTGGTTCTGCTTCTCTGAAGAGCCTTCATACTCTCCCCCAGATCATAAATGGTCTGGTTTGATGGAGGAAGGTCATTGGCTAATAAAGGAACTGCCCTGGCCCATTTTATTGGTTAGAGGATAGGTGGGAGGAGTAAACAGAACAAAATGCTGGGAGGAAGAGGAAGTGAGCTCAGAGACTCGACCCCTTTCCTCTCAGGAGCAGACGCCTGAGAGAGACGCCATGCCCCGCTCCCGGGATGAAGCTCCGACCCAGGATGGACTAGGCTAGAATCTCCCCGGTAAGCGCACCTTGGGGTGCTACACACAGATGATTAGAAATGGGCTAAATTAGTATGTGAGAATTAGCCTAGAAGAGAATGGGCCAAGCAGTGTTTAAAAGAATACAGTGTCCGTGTAATTATTTCGGGGCATAAGCTAGCCAGGCAGGTGGCTGGGGTGTTGGGGACGCAGCCCCGCCGCCGCCCTTATTACTTCATATGGCGCCCACGTGGACAACTGCTTCCACATAAAGCCTGAGACAGCTTGGGAAGTAATTCTAGAACAAAATGAAAGCATTGTGCCTGGTTTCTTGGTAGCAGCAATTTCTCGGTTCTACTCTGCTTGCTAGAGGCAAGTACGTGGAACAGGAGGAGCAGGCAGAGGATTATTCTTACTACTTACTACAGCTTCTTCCCTCACACAAAACACGCTTCACTGGGCTGCTCTTGGGGGTGGCAGGTGGAATAGTAACGGCAATGGGCACACGTCTGCTCAGATGAAGCACTCAAGACTTGCTGGCAGTATTTACCTACACAGATTACAACCTTCCCCATTTGGGCACTGTTCTATCTTTTTAAGTTTACAATACATTTCACAAAGTTCTTTGGAAAATTCACTGGTCAAATTTCCTGTCTAAAATTAACATCTGCTTTTAACTGGCACTGCCAAATATTTCAGAGAAAGAAAATGAACGGTGCATACACACACACACACACACACACGTACACACAAAACAAAACAATTGAGCAATCTGTTAGCCTAACCCCCCCCCCCAAAAAACGGGCAATCAAGTTCTCTTAAAACATGTATTATGACATTACTTTAAAAAATAATCTCAAGAATGTCATTTCTTTTTTTTTTTTCATTGTTAGGACCTATTTCTTGCCTGGTTGAATATATTCAGAACACATTAGCCCCTACTTAGAAGAGAACCACCACTACGGGAAGTCAGGTAAAGGCAGAGTTTTGTCATGGGTAAGAAACACCTTTCTCACATTAGTGAAGAGAATGATATTTAAATTTGAGAGCCACAGCAGCTGCCGCACACAAAGCAGCAGATACTCACCTCGTCACTGCTGGCAATGACTGCCTGCTACCCTCCTCGCCCACCCAACTGCACACCTGTCTGTCCGGATTGACAAACACGAGAAGCACACTGATGCCCAAGCACAGCTTACTCCCTGACTTCATCAACTGATATCCAGTTCCCAACTTTCCCTCCGTAGGAGTTACTTAGCATTCTTTGAAGTAATCATAACAATTTATATTGCCAAGCTAATCATCGAATATGGGGCTTGAAAACTTTGAGTATTATCAGACTTTTTAAACTGTTGGCAATCTGCTAGCTATGAAACTGCACTGTATCTTGTTTTGTTATTATTGGTTTTGTGAGACACGGTCTCACTCCCTAGCCCAGGCTGCCTTGGAACTCAGTATGTGGTTTGAGTTAGTCCCACATTCCCAGCAATCCTCAGGGTCCCTCGCTGGACATGGCATCCTCCTGCCTTGGGCCTGGAAGGCTCTCCCTTCAGCTGTGCAGTTCTAGCCCCTTCAGCTGTGCAGTTCTCGCCCCTTCGCCTTCCTTCGCCTTCCACAGTCCTGCGCTCACACCCCTCCCCTGTGGGGCTGACCTGGACCACTGCTTAAACACTGCAATCCGCACCCTCCTGCAGCTGTATCCGCTCCTCCTGCAGCTGTATCCGTCCCTCCCGCAGCTGTATCCACACCCTCCCGCAGCTGTATCCGCTCCTCCCGCTCACTCTTCATCACAGTATGGATTATCTAGTCAAAGTCTACTTCACTTCGACATTTATTATTTATCTTCCCAACTAAAATGTAACTTTCAAAAGGACATACGTTTTTGTATCTTTTTTAGTATGCACTCCAGCACTGAAAAATTATGGCAGAGCAGGCAATAACTGAATAACTGATAAATTAGCGTTGGGAAAACCCAACAAATTAAAAGCCGCCATAATTTTAGTTGTTCATAAAGGCCTAAATTTACTAGTTTCTACTTCATAATTAGTTGAAAGCCCTTAATTTATAAGGAGGATTTTAAAGTCTGAGATCTCTGTTAAATACACTTTATATACCTAATTATACAAATTTTAACTTTCGTAATTAAGGATTAATATAGTTATATTAATACGCAATAAATACAGTTGCCTACAGGCAGCATGATCAATAAGGCAGAGAGCTCATCTTAAAGAAAATCTTGTGAGGTAGGTGATCTACATGGAAATGACAAGGAGGGCTTAGGTACTTCAACCTCTTGAGCCAAAACGTTCCTGCTCTATGAAGATAACATGAGGGACGAACTACTGGGAGAGAACACAGAGAACAAATATAGACAGATGGCAGAGGACTGGGAACAGGAGGACAATCTGAACACCAAATTTAAGAAATAAACTAGAAGGTCTTAATAGCCCCTGATTTAAACTGCTCAGCTTAAAAAAAAAACAAAACGCTAACTTCAATACCATTACTTCATTTTATGCTTCCCAAAGATCTTGCCACGTTTCGTTGCTAGCTATTTCAGAACCACTGTCAGCGTTCTCATGAGATCCGCATGATTAAAGGATGCTCGGATACTGGCTCCTTACCGATTCAATTAATGATCTTGCTTCCTCTGGCGAGCAACGGAAAGGGCTATCACACACATGCACATTTGTGCTGCAGGAGAGAAGAGAATGTTAGTTAACACAGCCCAAAATGAAGCAATTGCCAAAAGAAAACCAACCGCAAACTGTCCACACTGGCTGTATGTCAGCCAACGAACGAAGAACAGAACAAATCGGAACACCTAAAGTTACAGTACATACAGTATGGAGTAATAGACAACACTGCACTCCCCACAATTAAAACCAGCTAAAACGATATACTATCAAACCATTTCCTGTTGTATACACAAACCTCACAACTATCTAAACCTTTATTAGGAGTCAAATCCAGCACACAGAATGAGACTACCTGGAGACATGCTCCTCTGTGGAAGAAGTACTGGAATTGGAAGACAGAAATTGGAAGACAACATGATAACTTTTCTTATAAGTGGGACAGCCCAGAAAGGCTTGTTCTCCAATCAGTGAGGGCTTGGAAACTCATGTCCTTCTTTGTTTGATAGACCCCACAGCATGCTGCCACCACCCTTCAGATGACAGTAGAGACCATCATTGCTCTTATAGAGTGAGGCCAATTTCTGATAACGTCACAGAAAAGCAGGTAGCTCGAAATGGGTGTAGGAAGCACCAGCAGAGAAAGGAGCTAAGACCAAGTTACTTTTTTCAGTCAAAGGGAAAAGTGACTAGTGATGGCTGTCCCCAAGAGGAGAATGGGGCAAACACAATCACCTATTTTCTCTCAAGCAGTCCTGACAGATATACATTATCAAATTTATCTTCACAATTGCTTCATGAAATATGTTGGGAATCTGTGGTAAGGAGATCTGTCTATCTGTGTGTTTATTTTACAAGCTCAACCTGTCTGTAATTGGCAACATTGTTTACAGCAGGTTGTCATTCTTTTACCATCCTAACTTGTTGTGGGACTTACTTTCATTTTGCCATGAACATTTAATTTTTAAAATGTCTATAAGTTTTTGAATGACATTATTTGCTTAGGTATTGACTTACGTGTTTATTTATTTATTCACTTGTATGTGTATACCCTTGCTACAGCATGTCTGTGAAAAATCAGAGGATAATTTCCATTTGTTTCACCATATGGGTCCCAGAGACTAAACTCAGGCCATTAGGCGTGATGGCAAGTGCCTTTACCTGCTCAGCCACTGCACTGGTCCAAATCTGATTTTTATTTCTGAGGTAGTCTCTTACTATGTGCCCCATGTTGGGACACAACTTGCAATCCCCCTTCCTCAGCCTTTTCCACTCTGGGATTATAGGTGTGCACATCACACACAGTTCTGTGTGAAAAGACTTAGTGATGAGTGGCAGCTGTATTTTAAGACATAACTTCTTTATATTTTCTTCTTCATAACTCATGTTTGAATAGGTAGGAAATTGAAAGTAGTCTGAGGTCAGCTGTTTCTCTAACAATCGTAAAAATATTAATAAGAGGGCAGAAGAGATGGCTTAGTGGCTAAGAGCACTGGCTGCTCTTCCATAGGACCAGGATTTGATTCACAGCACCTACCATGAGGCTCAAAACCACTGAACTCCAGTTTGGGGGGGATCCAATGCCCCCTCTGCTGGCCTCCATGGGCAATGCATGCATATGGTACAGAGATAAACATGGAGTCAAAGCATACATACACATCAAAAGAATCAAAATTAAAATAAAACAAAAGGCAGCAGACAAAAAAAAAATAGATCCTGCAAGGTCTTAAGTGCTAGCTGTCCAAAGAAAGCAAGGTGTGGTCTAAGTCCAGTCTACAAAATTGTTTACTATGACAAAGTCAAACGCCTTCCTTGAAACTGCAGGGCAAAAGGAAGTGAGGGCAGGCAGACCAGCTTCTCTAAGTAGGACTGCCAAACAAAATGCAGAATATACAACTACATTTGAACTTCACAGGACTTTAGTTTATTTTCAAAAATAAAAATGAGCATACATTATTTTTAAAACCAGTTCTAAAATTCAAAATGAACTGCATGCATTTTTAATCTGTTGAATCTGATACTCCCATTTGTAATGTAACCCTCCATCCCTATAACAAAAAACGGGAACATTAGAAAACAACAACATTTAAGCCAGCATTTGGACATTTTAAAACACTGAATATTTTTATAAATTTCCAGTTAAATATTTTAACAAGTAGCTGCTAGAAGCCTACTGGTTCTGCTGCTTTTTTTAGTATGCATTTTAGTCAATAAAGCAGGCATCTGGCACAGGGGTTCTTTTAACCGTCCTGATGCAGGTACCCTTTAACACAGTGCCTCAGGCTGTGCTGACCCCCAACCAGAAAGTTATTTTCATTGCTACTTCATAACTGTAATTTTGCTACTTTTAAGAACTGTAATGTAAATGTCTGTGTTTTCCGATGGTCTTAGGTGACCCCTGTGAAAGGGTCATAACCCACAAGTTGAGAACCACTGATCTAGAGTATAAGAACATTGTGTATGTATGTGTGTGTGTGTGTGTGAATATTTTTCCTCTACCAGGATTTTATGAAGTATGTGGGAATCCTTGAATGTATAACATGTGTTACTGAACGGTTCCATGCTTGTTTAGCTGGGCCTGGTGGTTTAGCGGGGCTGTAATTCCATCTACTGGGGAAATTGAGGAAGGAAGGCAATTTCAAGGTCTGCCCAGGACAATGTGGGCAATGAGAAAAGAAAGGAAAAGGTTATACAGCATTGATGTAGATCTGTTTTTAAGTTCAATAGTTTACTGTGTGTCCAGTGCTTGTCCAGATGCTGGGAATAAACACTGAACCAGTGAGTCCTCACATAACTTGAAATCCCTCAGTCGTTTTAAGTCTCAAACTGGCAATGCCCTGTGGAGAAACTGATAATCACTAAACAGCAAATTAGGGTGCAGGTACCTACTGCAAAAAAAAAAAAAAAATGTGACTAAAAATAGCACTCAAGAATGTGCTTTCTTTCTCTTTTTAATTTTGAGACACTAAATATTTTGTCCTAAATTTCTAAATGTCCTAGTACCACAAAACTAAACAAAGACAATTTATAAATGTCAGATGGTACATGCACAATCTCACTGACCAAGCCACAAAAACATGGCAGTGGACTTTAAAAAAAAATCACCAATATAAAAATGCTGTACATGACAAAAACTATACTTAGAAATTAAAAATCCATATTAAAAATAGATATAAAAATTGATTAAATAAAATAGAAATGATCACCTGAAAATAATAGAGACAAAAGAAAATTTATAAAGTCAAGAATCTGGAATTTTAATGCAAGGAAAATTAGTTTCTTCAAGTCAGTCCTGAGTCCAGCAAAGGCTCACGGTCATGATCAGAGTCAGTGTCCAGGGTACACACTGTCAAGGCTTTTTACTTTAAAGCAACACAACCAAGAATAAAGAGGAGATAACACCAAAGTGTGAGGCTCTAGAGTTTGCAAAGAAAATGGCACTGGGGCAAATGTGTGCAGAACTAAATAGAACTGGTACTATTGATTAGTATATTTTAATAAATCACATCATTTAAAAAACAGACATATATGTCTGTGTGTCTGTGTGTGTGTGTGTGTGTGTGCATGTGCATGCAACCAAATATGCCCTTACTCCTGTGCATAGATGCCAGGTGGAGCGGTGCATGCATGCCACAGTGCATGTGCGGAGGTCAGTGGGCAACTCTGTGCAGTTGATTCTCTCCTCTATTTCATGTGGGTCCTGGGGATTGAGATCAGGTCACCAGGCTTCCAAAGGAAGCATTGCTGTCTACCAAACCATTTCTTTCATTGGTACTACAAAAGGATTTCCAATGAATTTGATGCACCTTCCTTCAGGAAGTTGAAAATCAACCATAACAACGTCAAGCCATAAATAATTTGGAAAACTGAAAATTTATTTAATTGGTCAAGACCACCTTCTGTGCCGAGTCCTGCGATTATACGCTAAAGCGCAGATTCAGTATACAGCCCGGCAACTGACCCTCTAGCTGCCCACCAGGGAAGACAGAGCAGTGGGGGAGAGCCCAGAGGATGTGAAGCCCAGAGGTGATGCTTAAAATGCTTCTGAAATGGAGACATTGACAACAGGAAGATAGCTGGCAGTGGGAGACAGATCAGGAGGCTGGAGAAGCAGGCTTCCCGGTGTTGAAGAGCTGGGTTAAGCCCCAGAACTGAAGGGAGCCACGAGCAGGCATTCTTAAGCATCCATATGACAGAGTCACATTTACACTCTTTGAAAGGTCATTCTGTGTAGTACTCGAGAACTAGAGGCAGGAGGATTCAGATTTCAGGATCTTTATTTTATATTTCACACAATGCTAGTAGATATAGGGGAAAATCCACATGGAATCTATGCAGAAAAGGTCTTAACCCTATAGCCAAGGCTTGGTAAATGAGCACATATTTAGATGTTTCGAATTAAAATGAAATGTATGCATGTTGCTACTGTTTGATTCCTCTTAATCATTTAATGGTGCAGGTCATGTTGGACATGAAGATGACCTGAGTTCCATCCCCTGAATCTACAGGAACAATGATGCTGGCGAGCTGTCCTCTGACTGCCACATCTGTGCCATGCGTGCACACAGACAGATGCACACAGAAAAACTCAGGCAAGGGGAACCACAACGGCCTTTACTGTTTATAAGAAATGATGTGGTAGATTTTAAGTAAACAAAGTCACCACATTCTTACATTTTGGAAACTGCTGTTCTTACGCTGTCTTTGCACCCATCACAGTGGACTGCATTAAGCATTTGTTGACACGTCAGAATACCTTATTGAAATAAAAATCATTTGGAAAAAAATGAACCACGTTGGATTCCTAGCTGCATACTGACAGACCGCACTCAGCAATGACCACTAAATACATACTCCATAAACTAGGCGGTGGTGTCACGCGCCTTTAATCCCAGAACTTTGTGAGTTCAAGGCCAGCTTGAAATACAGAGTGAGTTCCAGGACAGCCAGAGCTACACAGAGAAACCTTGCCTTGAAAAACCAAAAAACGACATGCTTTTTTGAAACTCTGGGGTTTGAGCACTGTTATGTGGATGCTGAGTAGAAACTGATAACAATTAACATTGTATCTGCAGAAGGGAGGCTCTTACCAGCTGATAGCTCCGTGGTCACATTTCTTCATGAGCATTGCTTTCCAACATTCATGTGCGTTGTTAACAACTTCAATAGCGAAAGCCTAATTCCAACCAAAAACAGAGAGAGATAGTTGCAACCTAGCTCCCACCCAAAGCAGTGTTCCACCCACATGGAACCAGTGACTGTTAAGAGCTTGAGCTCCAGAATGGGGTAAACCTGAGCAGAAAGGCTTCCTTAGTTACCGGCTGTGATGTAGGCACTTAACTCCCCTGAGCCTCGACTTCCTCCTATGAGGAAGAGCATATAATGGGGTTTGGGGGGGATGCAATGTATATAAGGGACGGGCAAACGAAAGTCTGTGGGTCAAATACAGGCTGCCACCTGTCTTTGGCCCGTGGATGCTTTAATGGAATGGCAGCGTTGAGAAGGTATTTGGGAACCATACGCTGTGTCGTAAGGCCCTAAACATTTACTATTTGCCCTGTACAGACACAGTCTGCCCATCTCAGATCTAAACTACAGAGCTAATGGATGAACAAAGAAAATGCTGCACAAGAAAATGCTAGCCTGGCCCACAACTCGAGGAAGCAAGCACATATTCATTTCATCACTGCCACAAGGGCACACAGTCTAACTGTAAGTTTGGACACACGCTATCTGGAAGCAATACATCTTAGAACGGCCCAACTTCTAATTCATAAAACACCTAAAACTGCATAATCAGGAATAAACATGCGGCTAGGTATGCATCTAGAGACACTACCTAACAAAAATCATTTTTAGTCTTCAAAGGAGAAAATGATTTTCACTTCTTTTTTCAGATTAGTTTATGTGTATGTGTGTGGGTGTGTAAATGTATGTGCATCATATGTTTTATGTGTATGTGTGTGCATTTGTAAACGTATGTGCATCATATGTTTTATGTGTACGTGTGTGTGCATGTGTAAACATATGTGCATCATATGTTTTATGTGTGCGTGTGTGTGCGTGTATAAACATATGTGCATCATATGTTTTATGTGTACATGTGTGCATGTGTAAACGTATGTGCATCATATATTTTATGTGCATGTGTGTGCGTGTGTAAATGTATGTGCATCACATGTGTGCATGAGCGCTGGAGGTCAGAGAGGTAATGAGATGCCCTGGAAGGGAGCTACAGGTAGATGTGAACCACCGTGTGGGTGCTGGAAGCAAAACCAGACTCCCCTGCAAAAGCAGTAACTAAGTTTTTTTCCCCCTTTCTTTAAGGAGATCCTTATTTATTAGCTAATTCTTACTAGCTTATTCTCCTCAATTACAAGTAGTTATTATCATACTGAAGAAATAAAGACTCTTGGGCTCTGAGGTAGAAGTGTAATGGAAAATTTAACTTGTGAAATAAAAGTTCTCTCAAGACTACAGAGGGCTGAGCAAAGAGAATGGCTCCATTCTCAACGAGGTGGTATTGGGGACACTACTGTGACAGAGGATAAAAATGGAAATTATTCTATGAATAATACACGGGAGGATTTTTAGATAAAATTACTCAGGTAATTCTCTTTGTAATAAATTCGAGTGCCTGCTTAATGAAATGGGCAGGGAAACGCTAGAATTAAAAACAAGAGCCACTCTCAACCACAGAAAGAGGCACAGCTAAGTGTTCTCGAGATAGGCTCTGCATTTTAAAGGCAATGGCAAAAACCAATGCATAAAATGATTATTTGGAAATGTTACAAGAATGACCCAGTAATCACATAGAAGAAAACGGATGTCCATCAAAAGTCACCAGAACACAGAAGACCTCTGACACTGTGAATTCAAAACTTGCCAGGCTGCCTTTGAGGCAATAAAGAAGTGTGTGTGTGTGTGTGTGTGTGTGTGTGTGTGTGTGTGTGTTGTTTGTGTGTGTGTGTGAGAGAGAGAGAGAGAGATTTTTAGAATTTCAAATGATGAAATATAAAATATATTTTGAAAGAAAAGATAAGAATAATTTATTTCAAAAACATCCAACATTCCATTTCTAAGACAAACCTAAAATACTTTAAATCTTTTAACATAGCCCTTGTGGCATCAAGAATTCCTTTAATGAGCCTTTCAAGAAAACAGCGAGTCTAGCAATCAATTCTTGCAGAGAAATACTTGCTGTCAGCTTTGAGCTTTGTTTCAGTTGTAGAACATACTTTCTGTTTCCTCTTAGAAGTTGGCTAAGAGTGTGCAATTTATTTAGTGGTAACAGCTTTTAAAAACTATTCCAGTTTAGACTTGAGCTCCTTGGCTGAATGTCTGCATTTATGTCATATTAGAGTAGAGCCACTTTATGGACGCTTTGTGGCACTCTAATGGAAAAATCCTCTATCAGTAGGATAATTCAAGAGTTCTCTTAATTGTTAAGCAACTTCATTCGGTCTGGAAAAATTCAGTCAGGAGGGAATCCTGGGAGGATTTACATGGAGGGAAAGCAGCCTCCCCGAACCAAGAAATGGAACAATTTTTTTTCATACACAATTTGCAAAGTTTAAACTAATTGCAGAATCCCCTTACTCTCTGGGATGAGCTATATGTAGGTTGACCTTGTTGATTCACTTAAATAATTTGGAAAACTGTTAACACTAATGTCCTTAAATATGGAAGCCAGTACAGAGTGCCTTGTCTTCCTTCTCTATATGAATGTTCACATCAGACTGTCTACGGGAATCACGCCACCCGACACTGAGAGGTACACTTTCAAACCCAGATCCATCAGACTGTCTGCAGACACTGAGAGGCACACTTTCAAACCCAGATCCTCATCTTTACCTTGTTTTTGAATTCTCCGTTAAAAGCAAACTTGTTTTCTGGTTTTCCGTCTGGTACCTTATAAAGTCTAAACCAATTAAGAGTGGCTTCCAAGTAACCTGGTTTGAACTTCTTAACATCATCAATATCTGTGAAGGGAGAAACAAAAACGTTTTGTTAAAAACCATGTATACTAAGCAATACCATCAGTCGTGGTCTGAGGACGGCAGGCAGTGTGGGACCAACTCCAGCTCAGATCATTGCCAATTGTGCTAGCCATGCTCGACACGTCTCACATCACACGCGGACTTCTGTTTCCCTATGTAAAACACTGCTCCTTCACCCCACAAACATCTACTGAGTCCCCTCGGGACACAGGTTTCTTTCTGCCTGGAAGTTCACAGGGCTGCGCAGCACAGGAAACAGACAGATAGTAAATGATGATAAAGTAAATTGAGGTTATCACACACAGAAGAGGATGGTGATATCAGATAAGAGAGTGCAAGAAAACACCGCAGAAGAGGGAGTCCCACCAGCAGCCAGATAGGAGAAGTAGAGAGAAGGGCACCGAGGAAACAAGGTATAAAACAGGCTAGGACTGGTGTGTTTGGAGGGAGTGGAGTCTGAGAAGGAAGGGCCACCAAGCAGCGCACACCATGACAGGCACTGGCATCTTCTGACAGGTAATGGAAGGGTTTAAACTAGTAAAATCACAGTATCAGGATTCATGATTTTAGAAGCACTGGTCTAGAAAGGATGAACACAGATGGCAGCGGTACCTGAAAACAGTGCCCTGACACTGGCCGAGAAGGCTGTGTGATTTGATTTGATCTTTTATTTAGTGGTGAGATAACCAAAATGAGCAGATGAAAACAGATGCCTGCAACTGTCATGGCTGACACTGTAGGAAGAAGCAGACAGCAAAGAAACAAATGTGTTCACCGGCAAAATTACCATAAAGAAAAGTGAAGCCGAATAAGGAAAACAAAAATGAGTCGGGGGATTTAAACAGGGCGGTACCTAAATAGCACACACACGAAAAAAAATCTTATCCTAATTCAGCCACGGTTCTCAGGATGTGCTTTTGATGACACTCGCTAGAATATACTCGGAAATAAAGTTACTGTACTGAGATTGATAAATCCCTTGTTCAATGAGGTTCCCAGGGAAGCAGCCTTTCTAATATACAATTTAAAAGTATAATAAATCCTTGCCAAAATACTGTAACTAACGGAGACGTTTAGAATCACCCTGCTATGTACAATATCTCACAGCAAAGAACACACAAACTTGGTCAAACTTGAAAGATTAGAAAGTTCTAACTAAAACCCAGGTGAAGATGTAAACACGGGATTGTCCAGAAACGACCTGGCTCCACATCTTGTAGAAACCCCCATCCTCTCACTGACAGGGAGAGGCCAGGGTCATACAGACAAGCATCATTCCCTTGCTTTTCCCCACTTGCCCCTCCAGGGCTGGAGGCTTCATATAAGTGAGATGAATTTAGTGGGGTAGAACCCAGGGAAAGGGCAAGGTTCAGTTTGCTGCCAAACAGTCTTCTGATTTAAAGTCTGAAATGCTACCAAAGGCCACAACCTATCCAAAATATTTTGAAAAAAGAAAAGCATCAATGTTACAATTAATCAAAGGCAAAAAGAGAAACTTGCTTGAAAGGGAACGCAGGTTACAGCTGCTTCATTAACAAGAGTCAATATATACTTACTGAGCAGTTGTAACTGACTGCAGATCTCAAGACATGGAATTCGACAGAGTGCACCCTTTAAGGAATGCACACTGTGTTTGGGTTATAGAGTCCTTTGTAATGCCCCAGACTCCAGAATCCAATAAACCCTCCACCTAACACAGCACTGTTTCCTCCTCAAACTCTACTTCTTTTCATATTTTTCTGCTTATCTGGGAGGTTATTTCTAAGGTGAATTTTCCATTGATCGTTTTCTTATATCCTCCTATTCGTAGAAAGCATTCCTTTAAACTGATTAACTCCAGGTTTTGCCAACTTAATGTTACCGTATTCACTTGGGAAAATATTTTAGTATACTAAACTCCAATAACTAGAAATGTACTTTAATTTCCAAAATAGTTTCTTATACTTCAATCTGATTGATGACTCTATCCCTGTACCTTACACAATCTACTGGTCTTTACCTCACTGTGTAAAATATTTGTGATGTGGGATTTCCCTCTGTATGCTGTGATTACCGTTAAAGAACTGCTTTGAGCCTATAGCAGAGCAGGGCGAGGTGAAGCAGAGTTGGGGGGCACTGGACTGAATGCTGGGAGAAAGAAGAGCAGAGTCAGGAGAAGTCACGTAGCCCCACAGGAGACAGATGCTGGAAATTTACCTGGTAAGCCACAGCCACAAGGTGATACACAGATTAGTGGAGATGGGTTAAATTAATATGTAAGAGTTAGCCAATAAGAAGCTAGAGCTAATAGGCCAAGCAGTGATTTAATTAATGTAGTTTCTGTGTGGTTATTTTGGGGCTGAACAGCCGGGAACAAAAAAGCAGCCTCCTTACTACATATTTGTTTGGTTATCTTTATTTGACTCACCAACTTCAAAGAAAGACACTAATTATCCAATACCCTTTTCAGCCTAGGAAGTTCTTTGCTCAGAATTCATGGAGGGGACCTTTAAGATACCAGCGATTAAAAATGTCAAACATTTAATAATGCCAAAAAGAAGCAGAAACCTCTAGTAGAAGCTAACCTTGCCAATTCTCAATTAATTACATCCCAGGAGAAAACAGCTGCATTTTTATAAACAACGAAAAACTCAGACAAAATGAGAGGCATGCAATTTTAACATTTTAAAAACCTCAATAGTAATGTCCAACCAGAAATCTAAGTTAATGAACTATTTTTCTGAAAGTATAAAACACTGCACCTACAATTGATAAACTGATCCACGGTTTACAGAATACACATGAGTTAAAGATAAGGAAACTACAGCAAAGAGAGCATACCACGTTGGCTAAAATGATGGCAGAGCTGCACTATAAAAACCATGAGATGTTTAATCCTTAACCTGTTTTTCTTCTCGTTGCTTCGTTACATTGTCCAGCCAAAGGTGTTAAAAACAAACGCAGGTGTGTTTATACCTTTTCTTCCACTGCAGCAGAACTCGGCACAACACAGTGCTGTCCCCTGAAGTCACCTAGGGACGTAACTCAGTGATGCTGTGCTCGTCTATAAGGTCCCATCCACAGCACGTCTCTGCCACATGCACCTTTGTCATTTTTGCCATTTTTAAAGAAATGTCGCAATTTCCTAGCATCCATTTACTCTCACTCTTAGGGTTTTATGTGAAACTTTATAATGTAGACAATTACGGCATTTAGTGCAGAGATGGACCACTCCATCAATAAGCGAGGAGAACCTGAAGTACCTATTTAGAAAATCAAGCTAAATATCTCAGTTTCTCTTCTGGACCAATTACGCCCTTTTAATTGAACTTCAACTTATCACTTTACTGAACTATTCACAAAGGTTCTGCAGTGTGTAAGGCATTCTGAGTGTAGTGTGTGCTGAGTCCAGTGGACCCTCTAGAAGGAGACATGCACGCCTCCCACCATCGGTGGGGCTTTTTCTTTGCCAAGTGTCAGGTGTCCTCACTCCCAAGGCATAACTGCAATGGCATCAGTTAGGGATTTAACTAAATATCATGTAAGCAGGTGAATTTATTAATACAAAAGTGTTGGCTGCTGTGAAATTAATTTTGAATGTTCGGAAAGAATCCAATAAAACTGGTTACTAAAAACATCTGTCATCAATTTAGGGCTGGGTAATAAAACAGCTGAGTTAGAGGAAAAATTAAGCATCTCCAGCGCAGGCAGATTTCTGTGCCAGTGAAGTGGGAAAGCATCTTACATAACAGAAGTCGAGCTCACATAAAATGCACTTCAGTGAACTCCTTTTTAAAAAACATTTTTAATTTTCACTTTTATTTTAGGTGTGTAAGTGTTTACCCACATGTGCGCTACATGCATGCCTAGTGCCTGTAGCGGCAAGAAAAGGGCATTTGGGTCCCCTGGTTGTCATCTGCCACGCGGGTGCTGGGACTTGAACCATAGTCCCCTTGCAGAGCATCCAGTGCTTGTACCCACTGGGTCACATCTTCAGCCCTTTCAGGAGTTTCGTACGAACTGTAGGAACAACTCTCCAGATTTCTTCCATTAATATTTTCAGGGGAAGACAGAAAGGAAAAATGCCTTGAGGTCTAAGTGTGCCTTCATATTTGAGGATGGGAAGAACAAAGTCCGTGGCTAGAACTCAGTGAACCATGGAGCTCGTGGAGGGGTAGCCACATACCTGTCACATGGAAATGGTGCAGGGCAGGGCAGGGCATACATGTTGGAGGGAAACCTCTCCACATGCCCAGTGGGGAAACAACCACCCTATACAAAGGAGAAAATGAAGCTAGAGCCCCAGGAAGATACTTGAAAGGCGGGGTATGGTGGACACACATTTAATCCCAGCAGTAGTGAGGCAGGCAGAGGCAGGTGGATCTCTGTGAGTTGGAGGACAGCCTGATCTACATGGTGAGTTCTTGGACAGTTCAGAATATTTAGAGAGATTCTGCCAGAGAGAGAGAGAGAGAGAGAGAGAGAGAGAGAGAGAGAGAGAGAGAGAGACAGAGAGACAGACTTATAAGAATATCTATACCCATTTAAGACAGAAAGTGAAGAAGATACCAGAAGATAGAAAGATCTCCCATGCTCATAGACAGTTAAGGAGAGAGCAAGCAAGTAGGTAAGAGGAGAGGATCTCTCTAGGAGGGGGAAATAGAATAGTCAAAATATCAAAACTCCATAACATTAAGTAATAATCTAAAATACAGAAAAGCAAGAGTTACCAAAGAGGTTTTTGCTTGTTTGTCTTCTGTTTTATTTTTGAGGTAGCCCCAGCTAACCTGAAATTCACTACATAGACCAGGCTGGCCTTGAACTTAATGTCTGCCTCTGCCTCCTGAGTGTCGGGGTTAAAAACCTGTGCCAGCATGCCTGGCTCACCCCAGGTTTTTAAACACAGTTTTCAAAGGATGTCATAATTTTTACAGTCTAAAAGTATAATTATTTTATAACAGAGATATGTCCAAATTTAAAACTTTAATAAGTAACATCCTTGT